TTGTAGGGATGCGAGGTCAATGGTCTAACGACTACGGCATGCACGACTATGAGTACACCCCCCCTCCTTCGGCCGCAATCTAGACTTAAATGGGTTGGCGCTGTTGGCAAAGTGCTGTATTCACGCCGCCCCANCGACTACGGCATGCACGACTATGAGTACACCCCCCCTCCTTCGGCCGCAATCTAGACTTAAATGGGTTGGCGCTGTTGGCAAAGTGCTGTATTCACGCCGCCCCAAATATAGCCTCCATAGTATGCGCTACCAAAGACGCGTGACGCATGGATGCGTGGAGTGAGGATTGCCAACGGAAACCTTTCAGGTTGAGTGATGTAGGAGATTGCCGGACACATAGACGTGTTGAGTGATTTTAGCTGTATACTTAAACCCCAAGGTTGAGCGACGTTTGAGATAGCCAGACAAATGAACGGGTTGAGCGGCGATAGCTGCATACTGAAACCCCACGGATTGAGTGATGTTGGAGTGCCGGACACATAGACGTGTTGAGTGATTTTAGCTGTATACTTAAACCCCAAGGTTGAGCGACGTTTGAGATAGCCAGACAAATGAACGGGTTGAGCGGCGATAGCTGCATACTGAAACCCCACGGATTGAGTGATGTTGGAGTGCCGGACACATAGACGCGTTGATCGAGGATAGACACATATTGAACCTCACAGGTTTATTTCGATTGCGTGACACCTAGACGTGTTGAGTGAGGATAGCTACATACTGATACTTCACAGATGCATTGGCGTTTGAGTCTGCCAGACACATAAACGCGTTGAGTGGGGATAGCTGCATTCTGAAACCTCACAGATGGATTGGTTTTTGAGTTTTCCAAACACATAGACGCGCTTAGTGGCGATAGCTACATACTGAATGATACCTCACGCCTTGAGTAATGTTGGATAGTGCCGGTCACATGGACGGGTTGAGTGAGGAAAGACACATACTGAAATCTCACAGGTTTATAAATATTGGAGATTGCCGGACACAAAGACATGTTGAGTTAAGATAGCTACATACTGAAACTTCACAGATTGATTGGTTTTTGAGTTTACCAGACACATAGACGCGTTGAGTGGGGATAGCTGCAGACTGAAACCTCACGAGTTGAGTGATGTTGGATAGTGCCAGATACATAGACGCTTTGAGTGAGGATGGCTGCATATTGAGACCTAATGGGTTGAGTGACGCTTGCGATTGCCGGACACATGGCCGTGTTGAGTGACAAAAGCTGTATTCTGAAAGCGCACAGGTTGATTTGTATTGGAAATTGTTGGACACAAAGACGGGTTGAGTAAGGATAGCTGTATACTGAAAATCCATCGCAGCTATAGTGAGGGGACAATTCGAGGATGCAGTACACATAAAACCGACCCCCAACCAGTACCTCTCCCAGTTCGCAAAATTTGAATAGCCTGGCGTCGCGTGGCACCGACGCTCTAAAACAAGCCACCAGACCCTAGGAACGAAATTACTGAACTTACCAACTTTTTATTTTTCCCCATACCGTAACACAAACCCGCCAAGCCAGACATCAAAGAGCTGAACTAACCGACCTTATATTTTCCCATACCGATACAGAAACCTGACAAGGTAAAACTGAACTAGCCGCCTTTGATTTTCCCATACCGTAACAAAAACTTGACGAGCCAGACATGAAATAACTGAACTAACCAACTGTTTTTTTCTCCATACCGTAACACAAACCCGCCAAGCCAGACATGAAAGAGCTGAACTAACCGACCTTATATTTTCCCATACCGTAACAGAAACCTGACAAGCTAGACATGGTAAAAGTGAACTAACCGGCTTTTTATTTTCCCGTACCGTAACACAAACCTGACGAGCCAGACATGAAATGGCTGAACTAACCAACTGTTTATTTTTCCTATGCCGTAACACAAACCCGCCAAGCCAGACATGAAAGTGCTGAACTAACCGACCTTGTATTTTCCCATACCGTAACAGAAACCTGACAAGCTAGACATGGTAAAAGTGAACTAACCGGCTTTTTATTTTCCCGTACCGTAACACAAACCTGACGAGCCAGACATGAAATGGCTGAACGAACCAACTGTTTATTTTTCCCATGCCGTAACACAAACCCGCCAAGCCAGACATGAAAGAGCTGAACTAACCGACCTTATATTTTCCCACAAAGTAACACAAACATGACAAGTCAGATATGAAATAACTGAATTCAACGAAATACATTTCCAGACGCTTATCATTTTTTTTTTTTCCTTTTCACAGTTGAACGCAAAATTAAGCAAGAGTAGAAGCNTTCCCGTACCGTAACACAAACCTGACGAGCCAGACATGAAATGGCTGAACGAACCAACTGTTTATTTTTCCCATGCCGTAACACAAACCCGCCAAGCCAGACATGAAAGAGCTGAACTAACCGACCTTATATTTTCCCACAAAGTAACACAAACATGACAAGTCAGATATGAAATAACTGAATTCAACGAAATACATTTCCAGACGCTTATCATTTTTTTTTTTTCCTTTTCACAGTTGAACGCAAAATTAAGCAAGAGTAGAAGCTTATTGGCCACCTTACACACCAACACGAAAACGGAAACGAAGCATAAATATAGACACAGCAATCCCTTTTGTCAACTGTGCGATGCACATCAAGGTTGGGGACTCTGGTGAGATAACCGTAAAACATTACCGGTTCCCATGGGGCGGTGGGAATCTGGTCAGACACTATCCTGAATTCCCCGCAAGGAGAGGGGTGGATAATGCAAGACAAAATGTCAGACCTAACATACTCAAGAACCTTGTTTTTAAATGACCGACCAAATGACCCAAAAGAGAAGGAGCACCAAGCGGTACGTAGATATCTTGAAGCTTGAAGGATAGACGCCGGTACATAGTGTTGGGGGATTGTTGGTCAAGCTTTCGGCAGCGAAGTGGGGTAGCTACCCATGGTGTACCATCCAAACGTTGATGACCATGACTCATTTATCAACCCTGGGTCGACTCAGACCGCCGTCAGGGAAGGTAGTGCTCTCTGGCGTCTACGAGGAGGAGATTTTTATGTCTGTATGTCATAAAAATCAAGGAAGAGACGGACATCCCGATGTGTGAGTGAGACCTTCTGTTATGCAAGCCACCCTTGAACCCTACATGGGGAAAATGACCTCCCCGGAGGAAAGTACCCAGTACAGCAGCTGGGGCAAGTAGAGAGAAGATACGGTCGTGGGACGCTTGGGTTGGTTACCATGCAGATCGCCTGGCACAAACTTGGGGTACTTGTGCTAAGGGTGTTGAACTTGGCTCCAGGCTATGAGCCTATGTTGGAGGCACTTTTAAGTGTCGGTGAGCCGGCCTTAGAATTGAAAGACACCAGACCCTCAACAAGTACTAGGATTGGGAAGTCCCAGTAATTTGAAAGCATCCCACTTCAAACAAAAACAACGAGATAGTCTCGAAAGAGATAAGGAGGGAGACGACAAGGCACAAAGGGTGGAGAAAGAGAGAATGGAAATGTGCAGTACTGGTAGTGTTGATATTTGGGGTCAATAACGACATGACAAGGTTGGAGTTCAAAAGTATATGTGAAGAAGTAGGATTATATTGCTTCGCACGGGGGGGGGTAGAAAGGAAAGGAAAACCACTTTAAAATCACGTTTGGAAGGAGAGTAAGCGCAGAATGGGAAAGGCTGGAAGTAGAGAAGATGTCGGCGTGGGTGAGGAGACTAGGTTGGAGGGTGCGCATAGCAAATAAGATCCAGGAAGTAAGGCGTAGCCCAAGGCTGGCTGAAAACAAAGGGGGGCAGAAGGTTCGAAAGGATCAAAAGGGAAAGCAAGCCAAAGTAGGGGAAGGGGGGAGCAGCGAAAGGATAAGGCAGAAGGGAAGGCGAACGAAGGACAGAAGGAATCCTGAAAGGCACGGGAAAGAAGAAAGTAGGAAGGACATCAGACTAGGGTCTTGGAATGTATGCGGGTTTGCCACAGATGAGCGTAAAAGACTCGAAATTGCCGAGCAAGCAGCTGAAAAAGACCTGGATATAGTCGGAGTCCAAGAGTCGTGGGAGAAGGACGGGGAGAAATAGGAAAAGAAGTGGGAAGCTACACATGGATAGGTAAAATGAGGAGAGGACAGAAAATCAAGAGTAGAGGGGAGGGGGAAGTTTGANGGGTTTGCCACAGATGAGCGTAAAAGACTCGAAATTGCCGAGCAAGCAGCTGAAAAAGACCTGGATATAGTCGGAGTCCAAGAGTCGTGGGAGAAGGACGGGGAGAAATAGGAAAAGAAGTGGGAAGCTACACATGGATAGGTAAAATGAGGAGAGGACAGAAAATCAAGAGTAGAGGGGAGGGGGAAGTTTGATCTTAGTCAAGGAGCACATGTGCGACGTAATTGAGGTGATCAGCGACACCAAATTTAACGAAAGCATGTGGATAAGGGTACCAGGGGAACGGGGAAGGAAGGACTTGTTCGTAGGAAGTGTATATATACCACCAGAGTCGAAGAATATGGTGAAGGACATCAAGATAGGGTTCGAGGAGGTAGCAGCGGATGTACAAAACCTCAAGAGAAAGGGTGAAGTAGTTTTAGTTGGGGACTTCAATTCAAGAATCGGGCGAACCACGAACCCACACGGAGCCATCGGGCAATATGGGGAGGGAGCCACGAACAAAAACGGGGAAGAAATGCTGAGGTTNATGGTGAAGGACATCAAGATAGGGTTCGAGGAGGTAGCAGCGGATGTACAAAACTTCAAGAGAAAGGGAGAAGTAGTTTTAGTTGGGGACTTCAATTCAAGAATCGGGCGAACCACGAACCCACACGGAGCCATCGGGCAATATGGGGAGGGAGCCACGAACAAAAACGGGGAAGAAATGCTGAGGTTCCTTGACAGTAGCGAGATGAAGGTGTTGAACGGTATGGTACGAAAGACAGAACCGGAATGGACTAGGCAGTGTTTAAAAAAAGGAGAACGCTCCATCCTTGACTACATAGTCGTAAAGAATGAGGGGAAAGAGACGGAAGTACGAGTATGCACAACGGATGAAGGCACTACAGACCATACGTTGGTGTGGACAGCCCTACAACAGACGAGAGTCATACAGAGTAGGCGACGCAGGAAAATGTACAGATGGAGAATAGATAAGCTAGAAGTAGAAGAAATGAGGGTAGAGTTTCAAGAAGAGATGGCTGTAAACGACAAGAAACTCTCGGAGTTGATAGAGGCAATGGGCACACCGAAGGATGCCAAAGGTCGGGACCATGCCGGATCTAGAATCATAGAAGGGTGGGAAAAGCTGGTAAACACAACGACAAGTAGAGTTCTCGGTAGAAAGTTGATAGTTTGTAAGAGAGCAGTGAAGTGGTGGGACGAAGAAATCAAGCAAGCAATTCGAGTACGTAGAGAGTCACACGCAAAATCTGCGGCAGGGAAAACCGATGCAGGATGCAAGGAGTATGTTGAAAATAGAAAGAGGGTAAAGGAGTTGGTGGTGAAGAAGAAGAAAGCGTTGTGGGAGGAAGTAGTCCAACAGACTAACGAAGATTTTGAGGGGGGGATGAAGCAAATGTGGGTAGGAATTCAAGGGATGGTGGGCAAGAAAAGAAGGAGACACGAGAATAGCGACACTACGATCTGCCGAGGGTAAGATGGTAGGTAAGCAGTTCTAAAGGAAAGCGGGAAGTACTAGTAGAACACTACCGCAAACTTGGGACACCCATCACCAACGACAACTTCGACTCGGAGTCTGAGAAGGAAATCAACTCGTGCGCAGAGGAAAACGTTGAAAGATCTCGGAGGGAATGTAGTGATATAAACGGATTGCAGGGAGAGTTCACACGAGAAGAGGTAGAGGACTGTTAGGGGTGCCAATCGGTCAAATTTCCTATAGGAAAAAATTTCGAAAAGTGTCCTGGATCTTCCAGATGGAAGTTCTCAGAGAACCACATAAACCAATCACACTTCATCAAACCGGTTCCTTGTTTGAAAGGGGGGAGTGAGCTATGAGCTATGCAGCCCGCGGGATCAACAAAACAAAGACAAACAGCAACATGTTGGCCGAGAACCCAACCCACGACGAAGATCTAGCCAGTTGCTCGGCACTAGCATGTTTCGCGAGCTGTGTAACTGCCTCGAGGGTGCTTGACCATTTTAACACAACGTGGTGCGATCATCCCCCTTGCGCGGAGCAAGGGTTCTCGACCCCGCACAACATGATCTACTCGACCACCATTATGGTTACCGCCAAAAAAAAAACAGGGGCAAAAAAAAAAACTGGTAACCTGGTTGCCGAGTTCACGAAGTGAATTGGCTTGTTTTACAACGTCGTTGCCAAGCGACGAAAACCCAACCCCGATGGCAAACACCGAGGGGTACGGGGGGGTGGGGATGAATAACATGTTGGTCCGGATATTCAACTGGATATGGAAACACGAGTACGCGCCGAAGCGATGGAGAGAAGGAGGAGTCGTGAACCTGTTCAAAGNTCGTTGCCAAGCGACGAAAACCCAACCCCGATGGCAAACACCGAGGGGTACGGGGGGGTGGGGATGAA